TGAGACAGGGTCTTTTTTTGTCTCCCAGGCTAGAGTGCAGTGGCATCATCATAGCTCACTGCAACCTCAAACTCCTGGGCTTAAGCAATCCTCCTGCCTCAGCCTCCCATGTAGCTGGGACCATGCCTGGCTAACTTTTCTATATTTTGTAGAGATGAGGATCTTGCTCATGTTCAGGCTGGTCTTGAACTCCTGGCCTCAAGCGCTCCCCCCACCTCAGCCTCTCAAAGTGCTAGGATTATAGGTGTGAGCCACCGTGTCTGGCCCCTTTCTGTCTTTTTGACAAACATTTATTGAGCACCACTTATGAACTAAGCCTTGTGTGAGATGTTGGAGATGTAAAATTACTAAGATGCAATCCCTGCCCATAGAATATGTTCAAGGGTGTTAGAGTGTCAACAGAAGCAAACTGATGGTATTGGTTTCTTTAAAAAATTTTTTCTCAAGTTAAAGCAAGTATTAGAAGTTACTGTTAATTCAGATATTATTGTTATATTAAGACATGTTTCTTATGCGTTGCATTATGTATGAAATATGTGTGTATGCAGTGAAAGCAGATGTAAAACCTTTCAGAATGATGCTTCGAGACTAGTACTCTAACTTATTTATTGCATGGTCCAGGCAGTAAATGCAAAAGGAGCAAGAGAAAGGAGAGATGGTTGTAGACTGTGGATTCCTGGGTAGGATTACTTTGCAGAAAAGATAAGATTTGAGTTGAGCTATGAAGAGTGGCTGTATAAAGGTATACAATATTCCAGGTTAGAGAATAGCATAAACTAAGATGTCCAAGTGAGATTAAGCATGACAAAAGTCGCAGAAAGATGATCATATGTAGCTAGTTCATTTGAAAGATGTTCGAGGAAAATGTTCAACAGAGTGCAGTCAGCTTATGCAGGGACTTAAAAGCAAGACAGAAGAATTGAAACATGGTAGGAAACATTGCATACTCCTAAGTAGGGGAATAGTAGGATTAAAGTGGCATTTTAAGAAAATTGTACTGACAGTGAAGTGCAAGGGAGATTCAAGTGGGCAGAACTTGCAACTATACTGAGATAGTGATAGTAGGAATAGAAAGAAAGAAAAAAATCTGAAACCATAGCCAAAAAAAAGCGGGGGAGAAAAAGTACCAGAAGGTCTTGGGTTGAGTTTGCAAAGCGTATGAAGGAACTTAAGATGATTGCATTTTTTATTTTTTATTTATCTTCTTTAGAGATGGAGCCTCGTTGTGTTGCCAGGGCCAGAGTGCAGTGACTATTCACAGGTGTGCACGATCCTAGCACACTGCAGCCTCAAACTGCTGGGGTCAAGAGATCCTGCTACCTCAGCCTCCTGAGTAGCTGGGACTACAGGTGCACGCCACTGTGCCCAGCTAAGATGATTATGTATTTTAGACCGGGAGAGTCATAATGGTTTTAATAGGAATAGTAGAGTTGAAATGCATGTCTGTGTTCAGTAAGAGGAAGAATGAATATTAGTTTTATTTGTTTTTTCTTTTTTACGTATCAAAGAAGTAACACATACTTGTAGACAATTCAAAGAACGCAGAAGTGTTTGAAGTTAGAAGTCTCCTGTTTCCACCACACCGTTCTCCTCTACTGCAGCTTCCACGCCTTTTCACTGTTAACTGTTGCCTATATACCCTTCCAGAATTTTCTGTGTGCGTTAGCACACACACATCCTATTCTCACAAAGTTTGGAATCTTCTTTTTCATTTTGTAGTGTGATTTAATTTCAGATACCGAGTTTGAAGTGATCATAGAAGATTTCAGTAAAAAAAAAATCCTTCAGGCTATTGAAAATCGGGAATTGGAGTTTTCATAGAAGTTTTTAAAGACGGGGAGAGACCGAATGGGTGCTTGGCTCTTGCCTCTATTCCTAGAACTTTGGGAGGCAGAGACGGGAGAATTGTTTGAGGCTGGAGTGAGCTATGATCATGTCACTGCACTCCAGCCTGAACAACAGAGCGAGGACCTGTCTCAAAAAAAAAAAAAAAGGAAAGGAAAAAAAAGATATAAAGACCTTAAGTTCTACTAAGGGTAGGCAGGCATAGGAAAAAGTTGGCTTTTGTAAAGAAAATATCACTGTATCTAACTTTTTATCTTTTTATCTCCATTTTATGTGGTGGTTTCTAATTACATTTGAAAATTTATATGTAAATTA